CGCGCGGCGAAGAAATTACTTGATTTCTTGTTTTCAGATTGATTTTTACATGAGTTCTTCGCTTTTATTTTTCGTTGTTTTCTCAAATGTTAGCCGTAATAATACAAGAAATTCAATTCTGTTGTATTTGGTTTCGTTTTTGTCCTCAGAAGTCAATAATTAACTCATTTTCGCAAAGTCAATTTTCTCAGCTTTTGTGGGACATTTTGTCTCGCGGTAAAGAAATAGTATAATTTCTTGTTTTGTCATCAGTTTTACAAATTAGGTTGAGTTCTTTTTGCTAATATTTTTTAACATTTTGACCCTTCAGTTATTCAACTGTAAATAAACGATGTCTTGAAACCTGATCTTGTGTCTGTGGTTACTGCGCATATGGTTTATTTTTGTGCTTTTGCTCGCTCAGAAATATTCCGAAAACCACCAGGGAATTAGGGGTGGGTCGCTGGCAATTTCATTCAGGCGTCAATGGGTTAATATTCAGACTGCATCAGTCATTCGGTTCTAACTACACATAGCAGCAATGCACTATGCAAGAATTTCTAAAGGTACAATTAAACATGACAATATTCCTTTAACCCCCTCCCCCCCTCCCCCTCTCTCTATCCTCCTCCTCTCCCAATTCTTTATCCTGCATGTTACCAGGGAAGGACTATTCTTACCATTAAGCTCTTGCATTCCTGTAAATTCCATCCAAGCGGCAATGATATGAGCCTCTGTTTCTCTGTCAAAAAACTTTTTGAATGCATTATACTCATCATATGGGCCCTTTTTGGCAGTGACTTTCCCAGTTCAGTTCATTGATGCCACAGAGGTTCCAATGTCTCCACTAGACTCAGCCTTGACAAATAAGTCCTCAGCAATCTACAATTCAAAGCCACAGATAAACTAGAATAATATGAAACATTTTGTGCCCTGTTTCACTCAAACTTGTTAACAGAGAAAACCAAATATTGCTAAATGATTACTAATAATGACACATATATGGTGTAAATGCAGATTGCTTGAAAAAAAATTGGTGAAAATGTTGGAGGATGTTACATTGAGTAATATTATTTAAGATTGTTTGGCTATGTGACAAAAAAAGTTAACAAATATTCAAATAGCATACTTTAAAATCAATGAGAGCCAGTCCAGCTCATGGTCAATTTTTTTAATAATATCTTTAGACTATTTTTCCTGCCTGTAAAAGCTTGACCTTCCAGTGCCAATCAGCATGATTTGTTTCCAGGCCTTCAAGACAATCATATGAAGTTGCCTCTAGTCTGTAACTCCACTGCACATTTCTAGCTCGCTCTTCTGTCAACTGATCCCCGTCTAATGGAATCTTGTGAAGAAGTTGTTTACCATCCTAGTATTCTGCACTTGGAACATACTTCATACTACTTCTACTGGAATTTTGTGAGGAGTTGAGCCATATCAACAGACTTGTTGGGATTTAGAAATTCCACGCCTAGATAACACTAAAATACAACACATTAGACTCAGAATATGGTCTGCATATAAATTCTGTAAAATTGAACAATCCTCTTTAATCATATGTGAAAGTGAAGACAGATGATCATCACAGTTACATACACAACTTAAGCAGTTGTGAAATTAAAGCTTGAAAAACAAAAAAAATGAATGGGATCCTGTTCTGGCCTGAATTTTGTTCAGGCTTTAATTTCACAGCTGCTTAAGTTGTGTATATAACTGTGATGATCAGCTGTGTCTTCATATCTCGCTCTGCAGTTCAAATATGTAATCTTTCAGATATCATTTGCATGTGAAAGTGAAAATTAATAAGCTTGTTACAAACCTCTTCAGACTTTTTAGCCATTTTGTCGGAGTTTTCATGTGGAAGATGATGGATAACAATATCCTTGAATACTTTATAGGCAGGCACATATTGAGCTAAAACACGAGCAACCAAGGGAATGAAATGTTTTCCACATGTACAAGTTCATAAATATTCATGGTTCAAGTACTATTATCATTCAGGGGCAGATCCAGGATTTTTCTTAGGAGGGGGTGAGCACCCGCTGCACCCTCCCCATAGATCTGCCCCTGTCATTATCATCATTGCCATCATCATCGTCATCATCATCAGTATAATTTATTTTATCTGAGAAAAGAAATGCTAGCAATCACTCAGAAATTATAACATTCTTTCTTTGCTTGTTCCTCAACTAGGTCTTAGAGTACAACATAGTTGTAGTACTTGCAGGTTTATATTGTTCATGATTTATAAAAGAATGTTTTAGTTACGAAACAGTCCATTTATAATTATTTGCACACGTTTAAATAATAGTTGCATACATCAAATGACATTTCTTGTGATAGGGGGCAGAGGAGAAGAACATTTCAAAGAAAAGAATTATAAATATAATAATAGACATCAATATACACTGTAAAAATAATAGTGCAAGAAATAGTAATAATGAAACGTATATAAGTAATCAATACAAAAAATTCAGACCTATACGTTGGTAATTCCTCACACTCTAGATGCTGCAAACTTCTTTCCAGCACATCCTGATTTAAATCAGAATGCAGTTCTTCCCACATTCTAAGTAGCAACTCTTGGCATTCCTGGAAAATAGTCTCCAAATAGTGCTGGTAACGTGACACCGTACCCTTGGTGAAGTCCACAGGTACTTCAACTTCCATATCATCTTTGTTGATAACTGGGATTTGAACGTTTTTCACTTCTCAAAGCTGAACCTTTTTCTTTGATGTCTCAGTGTTGTGCTTCCATTCAAGAATGTCATCATCGAATCCCTCTCCCATTCGTTTTTGGGCTCTGATCGAAGTCGAGTGGCTGCTACAAATACCTAACTAATTTAACTGAGACATGTCATGTGCCTTGCATCTGCCATGTTGAAGAATAACTGAGTTGCAAATAAGAAACACACATACGTATACTTTATTTGACCTCGAATTTACAGAGTAGCTTGTTAGCTAATATCTTTGAGAGAAATAAATATTAGAAAGAAAAAGTAAATAGATAAAATAAAATAAAATGAAATACAATTATAATTCTATTATCATTTATACACGATATATATTTACACTGTGGAAAGGCCTCACATTTAAGGATCTTTTGCTTGAATTGAAGAAAATCAGACGTCCTGTAAGTGTCCAGGAGAGAGTTCCATATTTAACTAGCTAAGTATGAAAAAGAGTGCAGACCATAAGCAGTTGTTTTTGCTTTGGGAAGGTCCAGAATATAATTACCACCCAGATTATCGGATAAGGTACGTACAGTTAACATATCCCTTAAATAAACTGGATAATAAGTAAAAAACAGACTCTTATATAATATAATCATGAAATTCTGTAGCCGTCTAATGAATAGTTAACTTTGCTGAGTAAAATGGCATATGGACAACTGTAGTCTTGTAGTAAAAACCTAAGAATACGCTTGTTAAGATTATCTAATTTGTCGGTATTGCGCACACCACAGAAGTGCCAAACAGAAGAACTGTAGTGAAAGTCTGGCAAAATAAAGGCTTTATAGAGCTTGAATAATGTCTCCTTATTAATAAGTTTTCCAAATCTAAGTATTACATTAAATTGATTGTTGATTTTCTTACAGATAACTGATACGTGTTTATCAAAAGAGAGCTTATTATCTACTGGCATCCCAAATATATCTATTGCGTGATTTACTGGGAAGCAAAATTTGTGCTCAGTTTTCCCCAGAATTAAAGCCTGATGCTTTGTCTCATTAACAATCATGCCATTGTTTTTGTATCACTGATTTGCGACATTAACTTCTTGACAAATACACTCTTCCAGTGCGAGTGGGTCCAGGTTGGACGAGTAAATCTGATGGTCGTCTGCGTACGCGTTTAGTTTAGCATATTTCACATGGTAAAACAAGTCATTAATAAATATATTAAAAAACATCGGACCTAAAACGCTCCCTTGTGGAACCCTTCTTCTGGTGTCTGCCCAGTTAGAGAAAGTATCCCCAATTTTTACTCGCTGCTGTCTTCCTGACAAATAATCTTTAAGTAGCGCGCAACTTTCTTCGCCAACTCCATATGCTTTAAGTTTTGCCAAGAGTAAGTCGTGCTGAATAACATCAAAAGCTTTAGAAAGGTCCANCCTCTCGTAGATATTGTTGAGCACAGGTAACACTGTGACAGGGCTGTAATTTGCTTTATTGAATTCGTCTTCTTTCTTAAACAAAGGTGTAACCTGTCCCATTTTCCAGGCACTGGGGTAGCAACCTTGCTGAATGGAGGCGTTCAAAATGTTAGTGATAGGTTTAGCTATGACAGCTGCCGATTCTTTCACAAGCCTTGGAGGGAGCATATCGTGGCCACAAGATTTACGGAAATTCACATCTAAGAGTGCTCTTTCCACTTGCGCTTGATTAGTGTGCACAAAATTAAAACGAAGCTGCACCCCTGTAGCCCTATTCTTTTCATAAATAGGTCTAATGCTAGGGTGGTTTTCAAACACAGAGGACTTCATTCGTGTTGACATACAAGTTGTGGCCCCCAGTGCAATCTGATTGAAATTTGTTGTGAACTTGACTCCTCCTTGCAATGCTGATTACAAATATAGAGTGTTTTCCTCTACTTCTTTCACAAATCGGATATTCCTAAAGTCTGAAACTAAAATCGGGTCCTTTGTGTTAATGGAGGTTTTCGTCTTTGCGAACTGCTTGCATTCTGATGAGATTTTTGTTTGGAAGACTTCACGTGAAATAGAATCTGTTTCTGTTGAGTTGACCAGGGCGAAAAGAAGACCCCTGTAGATTTTTTCTCTTGCTTGTTGAACTATGGTAGCTTGGAGGCCTTTGCATTGTGTTTCCAGACATTTCTTACTGGTTGGATATGCCACAAGCACCTTAGAAAAATGCAAAATAGAGGAGTTCTAAATTAAGCTTTAGTCAATGAAAACAAATAAAACTTGAAAGCGCAATTAACCAACTTTGGTAATTGTTTGAGTTTCCGCAACTGGAACGTTCATTAATCTTTTCATCTCCTCTTCCAAATAATCTTGGGGATTTCTCAGAGGGTTGTTTTCTTTGTGCAACAACAATCTCTTGCACGTAATTCACCTCGAACATTGAGCGGCTCCGGTGAAGATGCACTGGGAGAGTTTTTTGCAGGCCTTTTCACCATTAATTTCCCTGGTTGACTATCGTCCATGTTCAGTTTTAAATGGGACAAAAATTTGCAAGAGTTGAAAATTTGCCTGGCGCATTTCTGACAAGAACGTTTTGATTTTGAGTTGGACTCATTCAAGCAAATTTCAAACTCGGAAAGTAACTCTGAAAGCTTGACACCTCTAAAATTCTTGTCTTTGTGTCACAGCGAAAATGGGAATTGAGGTAGTTTTTACACCAAGATAAACGCTGCAAAATCTCCAAATAGAACACGGCAAAATCTGTAAGCTTCCAGATTGTCCGCACTGTTAACGGATTTGTTTGTCTTTCAGCCATAAGAATCTTGTAGCTCCCTATCTTGGTTATTTAGTTCGATTTGTGGAAAAGCTTTTTCTATATCTGCTGTGAAGGCTATTTTGTGGGTCCTGAACTTTAATAGAATACCAGTTAGATCCTGCATTAGATTTGGACCTGTGTGTAGACAGTCATTAAGAGTCAATGCTTCTGATGACACTCTGGCAGATGCGTCATAAACTATTCACATCTTGGTTGTCGCGCTGTCTGTTTTAAAAACAGAAAAGTGGGGAATGTAATGCAAAATGCCTTTGTGAAGATTGAGGTTCCTCACTTTCTCTATGAAACCAAGATTAACTTGTTCAAGGAGTTGTTCGTTGTATTTCTTAATAAGTCCTGGGTCTTTCTTGTTGAGGCTGTTTAGTAGACTGCTCAGTCATCTTTTGCTTAAAATGAAGTTTGTTGGTAGATCGTGTTTGTTTAGTTTCCATGGGAGTCTTAGGTTGTATCTACCAGTTGCCTTGTTAAATCGGATGGTCTTCTGAAATTTTATGATGATATTATCATTTTTGTCTCTTTCTTCTGGTATTTTGCTGATTTCCCAGAACTTGGTTAATAGGTTGTCGAGTTTTGACTCTTCTACTGGCATGATTTCGATCTTTTGACACAGTGTGTTTAAGTCATTTTCATGGTTGCTCTCATTTTCAAGGGGTCCTGAGAGGAGCCATCCAAATTTGCTTTCCATAGCAATCAAGGCTTTGTTTTCAGTTTTTATTATTTTTCCAGTAATCAGCTTACCGTAATAGTCGTTTCCAGTGATGATGTCTACGTCAAGATTTTCTGATGATTGCAAACAATCTGCAAGTTTGAGTCCTTTTAATTCAGGAGGTATCTTTAGATTCTTCATCATGACTGATAGCGGTGGACAAATAATTGGAGCTACTAGTGCTTTTATTTTGATATTCTCTTTTTCTGTCGATAGCAAAAATGAGACAATATCTTAAATTTTTCTAGTACTTTGAAATGAGCCGAATGTAATTATATCCAGAACTTCTTTTCCCATTTTTTTTTAGTTCAAGATTGTGCTTCATATCTTGAGACATAAAGGTTCTTTGTGATCCCATATTGAAGAGGATGCGAGCTTGAAAATATTGTTTACCGGCTCCACTGATCTTTGTGATGGCGGATTACATCAGGATATGATTTGTAGGATGAAGGGAATGTGTTGCTCCTATGTGGGTTGTGTTCTTCACTATGGTATTGGTAGATGACTGACAACTGTTTGAATTTCTGGTTCCTTTCATTTGATATGATGAGCTTTGTGTTGGATTTTGTTGTTTTTCTTTGCAAATTGAATTGTGGTGTTTCTTCTTACATTTCATGTATTGACCTTTTGAGTAGCATTGAAGTTTCGTGTGTTTGAGTCCAAGACAGTTTTGACATCTTTGTTGGCATTGAAGGATAGATCGCCGTTCCTCTACTGATGTAATTTTATCACATTTCTCTGGGCGGTGTGTTTCCGCGCAGTAGGTGCATGGTCGTGTCACTTTCGGTTTTCCATTGAGAAATCTTTGTTTTTGCTGAGCACTGGTTAGTAGAGCCCCAGCGGTTGGTACGAATACTTCTCCGTCCATGGCAGCAGATGTGGGATCTTCTAGAGAGGATATGTGGCTTTTCTCTCGTGTTTCAATTTCTTGTCGTATGGCTACCCTCAATCTATCCAGGGAGCTATCTGCTAAAGGATCCACTCTGAATATTAAGCAGCGTGTCATCGGGTATTTTCTTGAGGAGTATGGGAATTAGCAAACTTCCATATGACTCGGTCATTATTCCAAGTGTTTCTAAGCCACAAATATTGGTTTCGTATATATCGTGAAATTCCCTTAAATTTTTAGTGTCACTTGTTGGCACGTGGATCTTGGGTAATGATTCCATGCAAGTGTTGGTCAAATTTTGGGTTTTGTGAAAGCGCTCTTTTAATAGTTGAGTTGCCTTTCTATAATTTTCTTCAGTCAATGGCAGCCAAGAGATAGTGCTCGCTGCTTCTCCTTTAAGGTTACAGTATACCTTCAGGGGTGTCTCGCACGCAAGCGATGTAGCGCGTGCAGTTTAAGTTTTAGATACCTAAACCCCTATATCAAATTAAAGCTTATGGAGCTGGCTATCAAACTATACCAAGAATT